TGGGATTTCATTGCACATGACCGATAGCAGGCGAGGGAAGCTGCAGAAGAAAGGTAATTCCGAGTGCCCGACTTCATCTTCCAGCGCTCTCTGTGTGCTTGTGCTTTCCCAACGAGAAGCGTGGGCGGTTTTTATTTATTTTCTAATCTCTGCTCCATGTCCGTGGAGCTTACGGAGCTGGGAACAATCTCCTAGCGTGTCGGCGGATAAATTCCCCGATTGTCCCGGCTCCAAAGAGGAGACCTGGAGCTCACGACTACCTTGGGGTACGACGTCGGGATTCACCAGACAGGATTACAGAGGGGGCTTTTCTTCCCAGCGCGGGAGCTGGAAGTTTGTCTGCATTTCTCCTCTCGCGCCACATCTCCAAGGAGGTTTTCACTTTCTAAGAAGGATGTTACCCACTGAGCTATTCATCGTAGTTAAATGAGAAAAGGGGTTAATAAAATACATGCTAGAAAAAAAGAAAATAAGATTAGGAGGACTGACGGTTTGGCTGTGAGGCCTTCTATGGGCTGCAGGGACGGGGGGGGGTAAAAAAGGAACAAGATTATTATTTTCTTTTTTCTAGCTCAAAGAACTTCATGGCCAGAATGGCACCGCTAATCCAATTTGCTTTCTAACAAGTATTTTATCAACACCTCTTTCTTTTCCTCTCTTTCCCCCGGTCTCTATGCTGACATATGATTAGTTGTATTAAAATTAAAGTTTTGAGCCCGTCTCTGCAGAAGCATGAGCGGGGTTTGCAGGAGCTGGAGCCCCCGGGGCCCTGTGCCCACCTCCCCACGTGTGCCCGTGCGTACGCAGCCGTTGCACTCCTGGGCACCTGGTTTTCTCTCGCCAACCACAGAAAAGTATCTTTTACGGCCATTACGCGCCGCTTGGCAGGGGATCAGATAGCAGCTCCCCTGAAAGCAAACAGCCGCCTTTCCGAGGGAGTAAATATTTCGCAACGTGTTACTTCTGTGTTATTTATTATGAACATATTTTCCCTTTTATCCAGGGATTTGCCAGCTCTTTGCAGTCACAAAACCTCGCCATGGTCTCGCGAAGGGCAGCTGTGCCTCTCTTTCCACACACACCCCCCCCAAATTTCAGGGGGGACCTGGGGAGGTTTCATGGAGCCCCGGCTCCCCTCCAGGAGAGGAGGATGTTTTGTAGGAGTTGCCCCCTGCTCTTTGAAAGGCAAGGGACACCTGAGATGGGAGAGTCGGATCAAGCGGTGGTGGTGGGTGATGTATCGGAGTAGGGAGAAGTTGCAATAGGACCAGTCTGCCCCAGTATGCATGTGGCACAGCGTCTGGGAGGCTTTTGGGGCAATATGTTAGAGGAATGGGAAAAATACAGGGAGGGGAGTTGCGTGCTCTCGTTGTCTGCCTTCTCTCTTAAACCTGATGGAGGGAGAAAAAGGGAAGATCTGGTGGAGTGGAAGGTGCTGCAGGAGGAGCGGGTGGGGGAACCACCAACCCGGGAGAGGACCATTTATCTTGGGTGGGAGAGAAAAATGAATTAAAGCCTTAAAAGAACCTGCTTGATCTTCATTAGCGTGCAACTCCCGTCTGGCTGTGGGAAACTGCTGCTACGCTGAGCGCAGAGGTGTGATGGGGCTGGGGTGGTGTGAGGTCCTGCAGCTCCAGGCACCGCTCCTCTCAACGCATGCTCTTTTGGTGGCACCGGTTTTTCCCTCTCCCAAGGCTTAAAGAAGCTGGTCCCCTCCCTGCAGGGCTTGCCTGGGTCTGGAGGAGGACCCGAGGTTGGGTTTGCCCACCTGTGAGCATGGCAGCAGCTCTCAGGGGTGCAGGCACCAGTGCAGCCTTTGCCTGGGTCATTCCCAATGCTCTGGGAGGAAAAAGGCCCCGTGCGTTTATCGGGGACTCGGTGCAGGGAGCAGGGCAACACAGCAGTGTGTGCTCGGCCACCTCTGCTGCTTTGCAGCGGGGTTGGGATGCTTTAGAGCAAATCGATCTCTATGATCATAGAATCATTGAGTGGTTTGGGTGGGAAGGGACCTCCAGAGGTCACCCAGCCCAACCCCCCTGCAGGAGCAGGGACACCTTGAACGACATCAGGTTGCTCACAGCCCCGGCCAACCTGGCCTGGAATGTTCCCAGGGATGGGGCCTCCACCCCCTCTCTGGGCAACCCCTGCCAGGGTTTCACCACCCTCAGTGTAAAGAATTTCTTCCTTGTATCCAGTCTAAACCTCCCCTGCTTCAGTTTAAAACCACTCCATTCTTTGATATAATGAGCTTAAAAAAAAAAAAATTAGGTAATAATCATAGTGCAAGAGGTTATGTCATTGCAGCCTGCCTCGTCCTATGGGATGGGGCTCAGCCTTCCATGGGATGGTGCTCAGCCCTCCACGGGATGAGCCTGTGCTCCCCGCAATGGAGCCAGCTGGGATTTCCAGTGGCCAAGGAGGCTCCCTGAGAGCTGGGCTGTGCCCCGACCGTCTCCGGGCAGGCTGTCTAGCAGAAGCGTTATTACAGAAGCAACAAGAACTTGAAAGTGTTTCTTCCTTCATTACCTTCTTACATTATGTCCCTCTTGCCTGAGCATCCAGGTGCTGATAATTGGCCAAACATCAGAGCAGCAGGAGCAAGTGGCTCAGCCCCAGCCTCGCTGCCACAATTTGGGATTTCTGCTTTGCCAGGAATTAGGTGGGAAGGGAGTCCTCCTGGTCCTCCTGGGTTCATGCATGAAGGGCTCTGGAGGTAGAGGAGCAATGAGCCACAGTGGCTCATTGTACGAGGAAGCCATCTCGGGCTGTTCCCGTTTGCTTCTAATCCTTCCTGGCCCTTGTCTTCACTGGAAAATTAGACCGTGTTGGAACATGACTTTGCTTCAGCATATTAATTACTAGAATGATTAAGATAGGTCAGCAGTTAAGCGTGGGCAGGCATGGTCATGCTCAGTGTAACGTCAGGTGATGGGAGTAAATCCTGCGATTCCAATAAGATTCACTCGGGACCAGATGGCGTGATTATGACCAAGTGAAATTTTTTTTGTCAAATTTGGATTTTGACGGGAAATAAAATTTTCTACAGAGGGGAGTTTCCAATTCTTGCTTTTTCCCCTCTCTGTGGAAAAGCTGAAACTCCAGGGCTGATTTCAGCCAAAAAAACCCCCAGAATGCATAAATTCTGAAATGCAGCAGCGATGTGTGGCAGAGGCCGTGGGGTGGGATGCCTGACGCTGCCGTTGCCCAGCCACACGTGTGCTCCTCTGCTCCCTTGACCAAGCCCAAAGCCTAGCCTTTTGGGGGAGATGCAGCCTAAGTCTATGGAAAAGCACAGAGCATGCGACATAGCTCCCATGTATTGCAATTTAAAAAAAAAAAAAAGCTATTTGGTTGCAATATAGGTTTTATCAGGATTTTTTTTTTTAAAAGTCAGCTTGGTTTTCTTTGGAAAACCCTTCCTGCCGGTCCTTTTTCAACTGGTTCAATGCACAAAGAGCAGCAGGACCCCATTTAACCAGCAAATGACCAGCCGGTCCAGGCTGTAGTGGCGTGAGCATCCTCCCGGGGTGCCCTCCCTCGCCCTGTGAGGCTCCGCATCTCGCTGCACCGCTATCGGAGGTCTGCTCATCGCAGACGTGGTGTTTGATGTCCCCAGCTGGTGTCCCCTCTCTCACCAGACCTCCCGCACTGGACCCATGGTGCCACGAGCCCGCTTCATGGCCGCCCCTCGCGGGCGCGCTCCTTTGCAGCCCGGGGAGACTGTCATTAGCATTTCTCAATCAACGCTTTCTCGTTAGTGACTGGGGCCAGTGGGAGCTTTGAATGAAGGTGGAGCCAAGCCAGAAAAAGATCCTCTCCTGAAAAACTATAATGAAAGCAATAATGGTTGGGTCCTTGAGCAATGCCGGCGTATGACAATCGCTGTCTGGAGGCTACCTTAATTACGAAACAGTGTTCTCCGCCGCAGGCTTCACAGTCTCGGTGCCTTTACTCTCTCTTGAGCAATTTTTTATTGCTATTGTCTTCAACCTATTTCATATTAAGTTCAGAGTATCTGAAAGTTATATGAAATATATGTTTGTTTTCTATTCTATTTGCACAAATTTCTTGTATTGTTGGTTGGGTTTTTTCTTTTTTTACCAGTATCTGAAAGCCTAAAGCTGGGATTATCTAAAGGATTATAGGAGAATTAGGCACCCAAAGCCAATTGATTTTTCACTGTGAATTAGCCAAGTGCATTTGGAGGGCTAGAGACTTTGGTCTGTGCTTGTGATTTCAGGTCTACCTTGTTCCTTCTCAGTAAAGAGACCTCAGCACCTCTTGGATGGCCTTAAAAAGGTGCTGAAGCAGGAGCAGTCAGTAAGAAACTGCAGGTACGAGACAGCAGACGTGGCCCTGAGACATTAAACTGCCTTTGAAAATCTCCTCCTGACTCCCTTAGGCTCTTTTGAAAATGCCACTCTAAGTTACCATC